CCGCCGTGTCTCAATACTTCAGGCGGGATCCCGTCGGCACCGGCACACTTGGCGTTTCGCAGCTGAGAAAGTGCTGTCTGCATCATCCAATGTCGGCAAGACACATCTTCATCTCTTGTTGTTGCAGCACGTGCAACAAATTTCAGTCAATCTCTGAACGGTTGCTCAAGAAACAGTCAGTGATTTTGCCATATCCGCATTATGTGTGCAGTCCGTGAGCACGCAGCGCCTGAACCATCGTCGAGCAGCATCCTCAGCGGCTCCAAACTCGATCCATGCTCTGCCAATAAGGAGGTAAAGGCGAAATGACTTGGTCGAGAGGAATGAAGGCCCTCACTTCTGAGCTGGCCTCAGTTGGAGCGTCTCGGCTCCTTGGTTGGGGTCGAAAGACGATGAACACGTTTGGTTGGACACACTTGCTGATATGGCTATGAGCCGACCTCAGTGGCGTTCGTGCTGTGAGTTTCTTTGTCCCACCCCATCCCCCTTATCCTCCCCCTCCAACCACGATCTCATTATTTAGACTTATTTAATTTTGCATAGTAATATTTTTTTGATGCACAGTAGCCGGCTGGTGGCTTACCGGAACGATGCCCATTCGTTACCGGTAGCTCAGCCGGCTTGCACCAGTTGCACTTGTTTCTCCATTTTCTGTGTATTGCGGCACAGTAGCTGAGGTGTTCCCCTCCTCCAGCTAACATGTATGATATATGTGATATATGGCGGCGTTCGGCGTAAGATTCCATCTGCTTCGCCTTCTCCGTCCACCATGCACTTTTCATGCGACGGAGCTCTCAAGTCAGTTGCCGTCAAGTTGTGAAACTGACTATTCTTCCCCAAGTCACTGGGATCTGGCAAATGTGCAGCAAATGCTGCATTTTTCTCAGACACTAATGTGCCAATCGTCGCATTCTTCTCATCAAACCAATCTGACCGCTTACAGTCTGCGCGTCCGATGGTCTCCTCGGCAGTAGCTGTCACCTGGTCGTGAATGTCGTGCCGCCACAGATCGCCCACTGTGAATATGCATTCCACATAACACAGGCGTCAATGAACAATGACTTATAACGGGTAAAAAGCAGGTGCTAGACATGTCCCGTAGGGTGTTTAGCGTGACAGAAAAGATAGTGAAGTGATAATGGAGTCGTCATTTCAGGGGCTTACAGATGTAACTGCACTGTAAGCCAACGCCTTCTACAGCCCTATCCTCCTCTCCAATTCAACAAGGGAGAGAACGTCATATTTCTGCCGGTTAACGGCAGGGGTGCAATACAAAGATTTAGGAAAAGGTATGTACAAGTTGGTTCTCTTCAAGTTGTGATCAGTGCCACACTCACCTCCACGCAGTACACGTGTCAAGCGCACTTCACGCATATCACGCTGACGTACGATGACGTAGTCGAGCAGGTGAGCGAGAACACTCCGTGCATGTTTCCAAGTCGCTATATCCCAGTTGATTCTCGCTCACCTCGGACAACAGAAGAGTATAACGGGTTCTGGTTTTACCTTACGACACGGATAGGCTGCAGTGGACATAATCGCACCATTTCCCTGCTAACTTGGAAACTTGCTTACGCTATCTCTGTCTTTTTTGGATGGCTTCCTTACTCTATATGCCGCATGTAAGTCGCGCTTGGGTACAGTTACATTCTAGAATGAGTAACTACTGACTTGGTGCAATGTGATATCTTTATTGCACCTGCCTAGAACGGTTGTATTTCGCGATGACTTCACATGTGTTGCGCATTACGATATTGTTCTCATCATGACCTACGTTATCCTATACTTGCTACCTTCTCAAGCGGAGTCTAGTATGGTTAAATACCGAGAGAGTGAGCTACGGCATCTTCCTCTTGACAGTATTATTCGGCCGCGATTCACATCACTATGTGAAATCCATGGTATTACTCACCATAACCGTAGCTTGACCAGCTGCTTAATACTAATTAGCATGACGCTTAGAGAGCCGGTGCATCGCAGAATAATGGTTCAGGCCATCCATGAGCTCATCCGTACTGCACATGTAGAGGGCAACACCTAAGTGCACACTATTTCACTGTACCAGTAGTTTAGTCATCATTTTACCTATCAAATGCTTCACTATTGCTACATCGGGTTCCTTCAAATATGGATGTCCAAGATTTATGGCTGTCACGTCTAAATGTTAAAGAAAACACCAACAGTTCGTATTGGGTATTAATTTTCATGTCTGCGAAAGCGGTTGCTAGCCCGACCTCCGAATGAGACCCATACACGTTTGTCGGACCATTGATGACGATGTCTAATGTGGGCCTGTCCAGTTTGTGACAGCTGCTCACATTTAAGTTTGGATAAATGCATGTGCATATGTTGTATTCGAACTGCCATTGGACACGGGTGACACCAATCTATGTATATATGTATACCGATTGAATTCGACGAGGATACTCATACAGCTCTGTACGGCTAACTTAGTGCAGTCAAACGATATTCAAGCAAATCGAAAGTAACATTACCAAAACATGAAGAATGTGAGTTTATGACAAACTCATGTTGAAATCAGGTGTTGCGAATCCAAGGCAAATTTCATCGATGCGAATTCCGTGGAGTGCTCAAAAGGGCGGTTTTTCAGGTGCCGGAGAAGGCACTATTGTATGCGGAATAGAAGCACCATGAGTATGTTCCCATACAATTTGCTAATCCAGACCAATAAGGCGGCTTATGTGGTACGTTTGCCTGTGTGATGAGTAATCTTGCATTTCAGAAGTAGATGTTGATTGAGCTCCCCGGTGTGGATGCGCTTGGTGTGAATGTTGACAAGGTGCCTACCTGTCCATTACCCACTACGTCATCCATACTGGCTCCAGGAGACAGTTGGTCGTTGCCAGTGGGGACGGGGTGCACCGTCCTCGTGACGGTGCTAGGCTTAAAGAGTGGTTCCATCCTGTGTGGAACGGGCTACGGTCCAGCCACCGCCTCGTGTACGTCTGTTGTGTATGAGTTCCCAATTAGTCCGGAATGCTTCCGTTCTGCTTGTTGAAGGAGTGTGGTCCGGCTCCGTTGATGAAACGTCGCTCCTATCCGCATGCCTCCCGGTCTTATTCCTTCGGGTTTAACACCGGATATGGGGTGTATGGGTGGAACTATGGGTGGTGCAGCGCAAGCCACCCATGGTCCCTTTGTAGGCGCAGGCGTCCTGTGACTGTCCCCATGGACGTCACAGTGACAGGCAAATCCGGATACGGACGACGCCAAACCATATCACTCGCACAGTGTAAACCCAGTGTTCGTGAGCTTCAGGCTGTGAGTGACACACAGTGAGAGCAGCCTGTCACCGTTCGCATTCGCTGAACCCATGCCATGCGGACCGATAACATCTGTGCACACCCATACATCATGCCCAAGGCGCGGGTTGAAATCACAAATCAGAAATAGTGGGTCGCTCCTCAACACAGACCGTTTCACGGGGGATAGCTGAGGGAACAACTAATCATGCGTGTCATCAGGATAACACATGGTCAGACCGTACGTGCTTATGAAACTGGAAAACACACCTCTTCCGAGTCGTAGACGAACAGTCATCAGTAGCGCGCTAATGCCAGTCGGCTCACACATCGGCTGACCATTTGGGCGATCGGATAGTGCAAATCCGACCCCATGTTAACGTGGTGCTGCGGTGACGTTTCCCACACACTAGCTTCATGTAGCTAACCTTGCTCACCAAGCCGGGTCTCGCTCAGTGTCGCAATATCGATGTTGTAGCACGCCAGTACAATCGCGACGAGTGCAGTGCGTCGCTCGAGGCGCTCATTCGAGTTCCGGTTCAGTAGTGTGCGCACGTTCCAGCACCCGATGTCGAGTGCTTTGCGCGCAGGCATACATTTGCATTGGTGGGCAATCGCACTTGAGGTGGCGGTTATACTTCGGAGGTTTGCTTGAGGGACTCCACCCGGAGCCTTTAGCTCAATAGCCTGACCCAAAAGGCAGTGGGTGATATGGAGGTTTGTTTGGTAAAGAATAACCCGTGGCGGAGCTGTATACTATCGAGCGCGTCCCTAGGTTGCGGATGTCACTATGTGAAGGTAATTGCGAGTAAGTCTCATCCGTTTTGCAGGCGAAATGAATAAACAGTCGCGTACAATCAGCGGTGGCGTCTCAGAGCGTGGGGAATTCTGGGCTGGTCACCTGGTTCGTCATCAAATTTCACGAGAACTCGTACGGCGCTGTGTCAAAGTCAATGTGACCGGCTATGGGGTCACTGACCACTCACTTGTGTACTCAGAGGTCAGTACCTAACGGAGAGCAGATGAACAAACTTGTCAGCCACCTGCTTCTCTGTGATTTGCTACCAACACAAAGAAGGCGAATGAGCCACTCGACTGTCAATGGTTTTCGTTAATCACCCCCGCTACCCTGCCGGTCAGATACTTAAGAACAAAGGTTGCGGTGGGGTCCCTTAAGTCAAACCTATTCTTCGGTGTGTGTAACCGGGAAGATCTCTGCCCACACAACACAGAAATCTTCTAAACCTTTTTAACCCTTCTACTAACTACCTGTTTTCCCCTTTTGTTGTTGTTAACTGTGTTGTGGCACTGCCAATTGTAGATTGCTCAAGTGTTGAACAATATACTATAATAATAGATATGGTAAAGAACAAAAAAGCCAAAGAACGATCACACGACAAATTCACCGCAGACAATCGGACCTCAACATGCGCCCTAAGGAAGCACCAGACAGCCGCGTGTCGAACTCAAGTTCAACGATGCCTGTACAGGAATCAATTGACGCACACTAATATGTGCATATCGGAGAAGATAATTCGGAACGGCGTCAGCACCGTAGAGGAATGAGGTGTAGAAGGGTGCAATAGTTACATTTGCACACTTCTGAACAGATTACAAAAATAGGCAGCATTCTCCTCCGCAGTGGTGTTCACACTAACATTCCTATGCACCGCATAATCTAGCCACAGAGACAAGCAAGACTAAGTCAATCATTGTTAAGTAGTTCGAGACGAGAAGCCCCAATGGTCACCAGACGAAGCAAAAACACGGAACAGCGAAAGTCCAATGGGGGATGAATTGGCGCAATTCGATGATCAGCTTAAAGAATAATCACAGAAACTAAGTGGCGTAACGAGAAAGCGATTAGGAAAAGGTTGTGTTCGTCGGTGCACTGCAGGGGGTGGTGCGTAAATTCAGATTCAGATCTCCACATCCCTTGACCAAGGAATAATGCGACGGTCGGAGACGAACTCGTTTATCGGTTCCTTCACACCAATTGGAAGAGTTGCCAAGTAAAACGGAGTGTCAGCACCTAGGCAGAAAAGAGTGAGATAAGCGACAGAATTACGCCTGGTGACCCCAAGAAAAGACAAGCAGATGTGCAGTACTATGAATGAATCTCGATACGTAGGCAACTTCGCTGTTTACGTAAAAAACGAAGGGAGATCCAGAAATTGGAACAATCGTGGCTTGTGAATTGTGTCATCAAAGACCTGATAGAAGTCATGCTAGACATCGATATCCGAAAAGCATAATATTATTCCCCAGATCATGACCATCATGTATACCGAATTATGCAAATGAGCTTCTGCGTCAAGACAAGTACGCTGTCGCAGTACCAACTCATACGAAACCAACTTTTGCTAGAGATCTCCCATACACCCGCACTTACTATTGATGTATTCATAGGAAAGCCAAACCAGGTGCGTTTAAAGCGGTCAATACCTTTTCGCTGAACGACACTTAGCAACTTCATTGTTTAAACTAATACCAAGGCCACTGGAACCGTTTTACTTTACTAATATAGTAAATAGTTTATGGAGGTATTGCACACGATCGGTGGTTCCTTGCTTTTGGCCAATTGTGGATTGTTTAGCGAAACGACACCCTGTCGAGTGGATATAAATACAGAGGATACTGTTCAGTCAAGTGCGATCGTTGCTTGAGAAGGCGAATGTGTTTCCTCGAGTGAAAATAGTGCCATGCATTGGTAAAAGTTGGAATTTTTGATGGTAATTTTGGTCCATCTGCCGTTGATAGTGTAAAATGCTGAAAATGCACCAAACCGGGTATCCAAGATTAGATTAACTTGACTGCAAAGTGACTCTTCCATCAAGAGCGAAACGCTGATACATTACAAATCATCGATCGGTCTCCACGAAGGTACGCAGCCAAAGACTGTACAGGCGAAGGACAGGAATCACAGAAACGTGATGAAGCCAACGTAGAACCTCCAAGTTCAGTAAACCATCACCTAGCAAGGCATAGGATGGCTTGTTGCTAAACATTTGATGGCCCTTTTACCATCAATTGCCAAGTTGTTAATGTCGTTGTCTGAAGCTCCCAAATCTGGTCCACGTGGCTACATCGACCGCACTGCAGTGTATTACAGTCGACACCTGAAAACAAGCTAACATTATGTCGTACTCAAAAATAGTCAACACTTCAAAAGGACATTGTCTACCGATCCTTGCACTCTCGGTGATCGAACCAGACAAAATACCCCGGCGTATATACTGTGGGGAAAAACGAGAAGCATACAATCAGCAGCATTTTGAATTGTGAGGACGCAAGGCACAGATGTAAATATGTTGGTTATGCATGGCAGCTGGAAGACATTCTAGGGGGACCGTGTAGTCCGCTTGCTGAAGTTTTGCCAGGTCATATTACACATCGGGTGTGAGATCGTGCTTAGATGGGGGTTAGACGAATTCTCGTGCGTCGCCTCACTGTGGAACGGGAATCACGGATTAGGGAAGAGCAAGAAGCACTGCAATCAGAATAGGTTTAATAGAGACCATATATTTACTGTGCAACAGATGCTAGAGCAGCGCTCCACATAATGCAGAACGAAAATAGCAGTGCTGCTCGACTGCAAGAGTGCGTTTGTCTCAGTCGATCTATCCACTCAGTTGCGTGGAAAGATGTTCCCATGAAAACTGAACAATTTACATGCCCTGTACTCGATCACTGCGGGCCCAGTCTGGGTCTACGGTGTCCCGTTGGATAAGTTTCCGATAACAAGTGGCGTTCGACAGGGTTACCCAATTTCCCCACTTCTGTTTAACTTCGTCGCGAACACCATCATGGAGTGTGCCCATTCGGAATCTCACGATGCAGGTGTTGAAATGTTGCCTTCTGAAAAGCTGGTTGATCATGATTATGCGGACGATATTGTCTTCCCCTTACCGACATCGGACGGGGCGTAATCAACACTGAATAGTCTCACTAGAGTAGTCCCATTATTTGGTATGTACTTCACACCTTCAAATGCAAAGTGTTGCTGCAGGACTACCAGCCACTTGATGACCTCCAAACCCTAGATAGCGAAGAACTCGATGTAGTTGATCATTTCACTTACATTGGCAGCTATATCAGCAACGGGGGACACATAACCACTGAAGTTGGTTCTCATATTGCAAAAGCCAGAACTGCCTCCTTGAATCTGCGAATTTTTGGGCGCCAGAAAGGGATTTTCCCCGAGAAAAGAACGTGTTTACAAGACCACAGAAAGGGCGGTCCTGCTTTATGTTAGTGAGACTTGGCATTTTCATTCTGAAGATCTGAGACGCTTGCAAGTCTCTGATCATCGTGGTCTGCAAAGCATTGCTGGTGTCGGATGGCATCAGCGTATCCCCAACGATGATGTGCGTAAGCAAGTACTAGGTAGTGATGATCGTGCTCACTCTTTAGAACAACACATAGCACTTAATAATTTGCGTTAGCTTGGGTACGTGCCACGTATGCTTGGTCACTGCTTACCTAGCAGGGCCTTGTTTAGTCTGCCAGGTGTAGGGTGGCGCAAAGCTCGAAGTGGACAGAAGTTGACTTGGCAGCGTGAAATGAAGTCACCGACGAGCAGACAGGGTGCCGTTCGTTTGTCTCGCCTTCCTGGCTGGAGTCCATTTGACTAGCCTTGTAATTGCCACGAGACTTTAATGGACCTGGCTCGTAGTCCACACCAGTGGCGTGTCTGCTGACCTCCCGTAGTCGGACTCCCTGTTTAAAGTGTGTTTGATGCTGTCATCTGTGGGGTAATGGCTGATTATGACGCGGGTCAGTGAAAGCAGCAAGGAAACTGTCACGCCGATTCCGCCTTCTCTTTGCATTATAACCAGCTCTTTGTGGCGGCATGCTATGGACAAGGTGTAGGTGCATTAACTCTGAATCTATGCTTAGGGCATTAACGTTTTCCGATAAGACTCTTCCACCCCTTAGTATCCTACATTCCGTCGATCATCATGGCTGTACGGCAGCGAAGCATCAGTACAAATGGTTGAAGTGCTGTTGTTGATGATGACTTTAATCATGACGCAAGCCAATGAAAGCCATATGTTCATGCGTCCGAGTACTGGTTCCATAATATAAAGTAGTGATGGATCTCCCTGAGGGTGGAAGTTTGACTGCAGTGGCCCGAATAGGCTCAAGAGGATACACTATCAATGTAGACACTATGGGTCAAGTGGATTGCTTAGAAAGCTACCGACCACTGCTCGACCAATCACGGAAAGCCTGAAAAGTGATGCATCTAAACGCTGAACTGGCAAGTTTTGGTAAGTATGAGGGCAATAAGTCTCGACGGCAGTGGTCAAGACACTTTCAGCCGCCAATCTAAAATTACTTATCGAAACATGACCACTCAGCGATTAAAGGATGAACTCCCGGTTCGGTCCGAATCGTTTGTCTTATACCAATTCACCTGCACCTTTGGAAATAGGTATCTTGGACATACGACCAAGTTTTTGTCCAAACGAATCACTGAACACTGTCCCGCGTCACTACGAAAAGGCACTGTAAAATTCATCAACACTTCGGTTTTACAACACTTGGTTGACACTGGACATCAAGTCCAGATGAATCAGCCGTTTAAAGTCGTTTATACCATTCCTAAACGCTACCCAAAACATCTGTTGACAACCCAAGTGTCATATGGTGCCGTTTGATATGACATATAAGCGCGAAGACTACAGTACAACGTTAATGCGCAATACAGTCGCGATGGCTATGGCTTCAACTTAGATGTCAATTCAGAGCCGTGGCGATACGAAGAAGTGGGTTTCAAAAGAGACCCAACTCACAGGCCTTAATCATAGGAGCCCATGCATCAGATATGCACGCACGATCGGACCTTCAGAGACAATGTTTATTGATGCGCACGAAAGGCGAATGCAAGCTATATTTGGTTGGGGACAATAGATCATATTTAATTTTACCACACCGAAGTATATGATCCTCGTATTGGTGTGCCACGCGAAGTCGGTTGCCTCGCTAAGGCCGGAGAGTGAGCGATACATGGGCACACACTAAGGCATGATAGGAAGTTACACCGGTGGTACAAAAGAGCCAATAATTCTGAACAGACAATTGTCATCTACAGACGATGGTAATCTGGTTTGTGGGTCGTTCGCCATTGCAGGGTAGTATTGCTGGCCTGAAATCTGTGAGGACATGCAGAGCAACGGCGACACGGTGTCTTAGGATATTGTGCATTAATAACATTAATGTAACATTCAAAGCGAGAAGTATACGTGAGGCTTTTTGTTAAGATCTATTTGCGAAGAATGTATTCAGCCCCTCCGACACCGTGGGCAGGTCTAGCTGCCGAGTAGGTGTCAACTGATGTGAAAAAGATAGATAGTAAGCCGATCAATTGAAGGTTCGTTGAAATGTTGTTTGGTTGTAAATGCGATTCGCAGGGAAAAGATAGACTTATTCTGACCATGGATTGACATCCAGGGACTTTTGCGCACCGAACTGACGTACCAAGTGGAAGTTGGAGTGCGAGGTACAACGGGATATTTGGTTGCAAAGCATGTGACATCCGCTTGGTAATCAAGTAAAGATATGCACGAGACGAGTAGAAAATTAGCAACGGCAACCGTTTGTGACAATGCACTATTTGGCCGATTAATCCAAGGGGTTGAATAGGGGATAATACAAAAAGCAAAATCCGTTGTTAGATGTACGATACACAAGCGAAATGGAGAATCTGCTCATAAATAAGTAAACACTGACGAATTTACCTTGTTCTATTGTTTTCTTGCCCTTGTGATCGGTCAAGTCAGTGGCAACGTAACCTGGACAGCACTGTGAAGGGAAATGGGAAAAACGTAAATTCAGATACATTACATGTAAACATTAGGATAAGGGAACACCGATGGAGAACAGTGGTAACAGTGCGTAACAGCGAGCATTTGTTTTCCTTAGATACGATTCACAAAGAATTGATAGTAACTGGGACTAAAGGTTCCAACGCATAAACATGAGGAAAGTCATGGCAAAACTCAACAACGAGTTTCCAACCATTATGACGGGCGTAGTTTGCTGAACTCGATGACGTAGGGGAGAAGGCATGTCAGTAAACCACTTTTCTACGCACCGAGTTCGGATCGCGGCTCTGTTGTCTCCACCTGGAGAGTAAAAACAGGAGTGCAAAACCGGCGGTTGAATGTAGCCTTTGGTGTGGGAATCGCTTAACAATAACAATGTGTCAGCTATACGCTGTGACGGCGCTTCGCTGCCGCGCGTGGACTGAGTATACCGCGAGAACGTCCGCTCCTAAGCGGCTTCGAACCAGTGACCTTATGACTGTAAGCCAGGCGTGCAGACCACTCGGCCACCGGCCAAGGAATCGTTATAACTTAAGCCACCACGGTGACATAGGTCAAGATCAATTAAAAACGAGGAGGTGAATCACAAAATGGTCATGCAAAACATGTTGCAAAAATAACTTAGAGTTTAAGGGTAGGATTACAGCAAAATCAATAATGCTGTTGAAAATGGGTGTACACGAGCCAACAGTATAGGGTCGAACCGAACAGACACACTTGTCAGTTGCATTGTTTGTCCGTCCGTAGGTCACAAAGCTTGCTCCCGTCAAAATTATCCATGCACAACACATAATGAGATCGGCGATGGACAAGTATGAGAACGCAATGCAACCAGGCTAGACCGTACAGACACATGAAACAGTCTACTAAAAAGCCACGAGGCTTATCACTCGACAGTAAAGGGTCGAGTTCAGCAATACGCTCACATCTGCAAAACCACCACATACGAGTAATGCTCCGTACATATCAAGCGCTAGAAACAAGCGGTCACTTAGACACTGAAGAGCACAACGTCCTAGTTGCCAGATGACAAAGCTTGTCAAGTGATAGGGTCGATTATCGCATCTAGGAGCGGAGGCAAATGTGACGAGTGTAAACAACCGCTTCATCAAAGTGTGCGAAGTAAAAAGAGAACGTGATTTACTTTCTCTAAATAACCTATGGAAAAATATAACTGCAGAACATAAAATCGCATAATAAAACGACTCGATTTCATCAACATAACGAACAATGACAAGGATTAAATGGCTGATTGTGCCGAAAGTACCCAAAGGCGGGTGACCGTAAAGTTTGTGATTCTGATCGAGTTTGTGAATACCAATGATAATGTATATTCTCGATTTTATGAGGCACGCACTATTCTGCATGATCATATTTTTCTTATGGTTTAACAGCATATCCATATGTCAGACATAAAGTAAACAACTATTTTTCCGCCAGTTTTTTGCAGTCCAAAGCGTTGTTTGGGCGCAGAAAATATCATGGCGTCCTGATGGAGATCTCCTTGCGCGGACGGAACCGAGTTTTCATTTCCTTGGGCAAAATATGAGTAGCAATCCTGATGATAGGAAAAGATTAAATCTGAACTCATCCCATTTAAACAAAGCATCTGATGTAGATAAGTCATTAGTTACCATATATATTGTGGCTTTCCAGAAAGATTGGTGAAAGACGGGGTATTAATTTATTTTCATTTCAGCAACTGCACATCTGGGCCGAGACAGATGGAATGTAAGATTTATCTGTCGTGTGTGAGGTGAACATGATTGACACTTGTCAACTGGCACAAGTATTTTGATACAACTGTACGCTAGGCGTAAGTCAGTAAGAGGAAAAATGAGAGAATTTTTTGAAATAGTGATAATTTTGGAAGTAGAATATGTTAGCTTCACCGCAATGCCCGAAAAGTTTATATCACAGCAAAAATGGAAGCATAGACAAGTAACAGAAAGATGGTGAAAGCGAATGAAGGTGAATAGATTTAGTCAACGTTTCCTTATCAGTGCACAATTCTTGGTATGTCTGTAAGGTAGGCGTGGCTGAGTAAGCAGAATATGAAGCAGTGGAGATACAAATGGTTACCTCAATCTCAGTTCGTAATTCCTCTGCAATCTACACGTGTTGCTGTGTCTGTGAGTTACGCTTTTCCGAGTAAAGAAGGAAAGTGGGTCGGGTGAAAAAGAGCGAAGAGAGTTCTGGCAACAATATATCTCTTTTCTCAACACACCTCTTCAAAATTGATTGACCAGGTGAATGCAATGTACGTAGAAGACTTCAAGTATATTTGTCATCAAAGCAGTTACGTCGCGGCCCCCACTTCAAATAACATTTTATCATTGCAATTTACTGGCAAAATTGTTTTTACGTATCGCACCCTCAGGAACTTTGATATTACTCTATTAAACAGCGGTTGTTAGTCGCATGCTCTTATCTAAATATGTTGGATGTACCAGATCTCAGTGTAACTGTTTAGGAAGAATTTTCTTCAGACATAAATTTTCGCTTTGCACACCGGGATTTTGTTCATAGTATTTCTAATTGCGTAACTAGGTTCTTTGTTGAAGTGTATATTGATATTTGGCGCGAAAACGCCCTTAGGGGTCAAATCAAATAGGCACGTTAATCTAAGCTTCATGCGTCCTAGTCACAGTGGTTCCAGCTGAAGCATCTTACGACGTTCAGAGTAGTTAAGTTTAGATGAATAGTTAAAGAGAGTCCTTGTGAATGATCTCTGCACGTTTTCTAAGCACATGCGGTCGCGTTTTCTGCTGCTTGTAAAGAAAATTCTGTACTCTAGTACAGGGCGAACGCAGACAGTTTAAGTTTAGGCATCGAAAATGATTTTACGATAAGTTTTGTGTTTAATCCTGATTTGGCCATTATGAATTCAACTGGTTTACAAAAATACAAAGTGTTAGAGTACCGGGTGGCCCAATGTCGTATAGTCTTACTGCAGGAGATGGGTTTACCACCAAGGTAAAGTGCATTCGGCGAAAGTTCGCACCCGGGGGTTTTAACATACTGCACTTGTCAGCTGAGAAAGTCATCTGACAGTCAGTGCACACCGATTCCAATGCCAGTAGATCTATGCGAACGTTTTCTAGGGTGGCGCTCAAACACCGCATATAAAAGGTGTAAGGTATGTTTATATCATCCGCAAAAATATAGGGTGTCCCAAATTTAACTTCTTGAGTTATATCTTTGAAATACATTAGGAAGAGCAAGGGACCTAACGCACTTTCTTGAATTACACCACTTTTGATTTTCAATAGTGAGGACTTAGTATGTCCTATTTGTACCTGCTGCGTACGATCAGATAGGTAAGATTTGAACCATGAGTGCAAGGGATCAGTGATCCCGAAATTGGTTAGCTTCACCAAGAGGCACTCTGTCAAAGGCGTTCTGCATATCAATAAAGAGAATGATAGCTGCTTTTCCATTGTCTGTGGAGCTTGTCAGATGGTTTAGAAAAGAAAGCTGACAAGTCTGATCTGAGCGTCTTTGCAAACACCCCTGTTGAGCTGAGTTTATTAAATTCAATGACAGCAAGTGCACAACAGTTTGCTGTTTCACAATTATCTCTATTATTCTCGAAGTAATCGGAGTGTCGCTACTAGGATGGTCATATTTTCTCTCGAGTTTTGAACCGTCCAAAAATCTAGATTCTAGCTAAGTGTTTCCATTGATTTGGGAATTTACCCGAATTTATAGTTAGGGTGAACACGTTTAGAAGCAGGAGCGATATATGCCGACCACCAAACTTTAGTAGAGGATTTGGCAGACTATTGGGGCAGGGATGGAACGAAGATCGTAGCCGATCAATATGAGCTTCAATAACACCGTAATCGAAATGCACTGTGCTAAGTTGACCAGCATCAGTAGAAGCGCTAATCGTATGTGTTTTGCTTGAGGTAGTAAACAAAGTGGAAAAGTGTTCATTCACGTCGTTCCTTATTATGGTGGGGTCCCTGGTCATGGATCTGTCAGGCAGTATAATGCATGATACCGAATAAGTTTGACTGTCGTTTCTGGCAAAATCATGGGACGATAGCAAGCACAATAAAAATCTGCGTTATCTAACTATAGATCCTGATGATGCAGTCCACGTACCGCATTCATTACGATGTGCCGAGGGTCATTCTTGATTAAGTCCCCCAGAATATATGAAGCCTTGCTCAGTGCTATCTTGGATATGCCGTATCCTGTAGTTGGCCAGCCGTACTTTTCATGGTCGCCGGCTTCGGCATGTCTAGAATGGAGAGGATGAACTATATGAGAAGTAGGGAGAGAAAGTTCCGGGGCGACTGAAAGGCTGGTTATTTTCCTAATTGTGCACCATCTGTGAACCATCAATTGCATTCGCGTTACAACAATCTTGAAGCAGTGCATTAAACCGATGGAATCTTGTTTGGTGTAATGAAGCCCGAGCCAAACGTGTCGCAGAGTGATCCAGAGTGACCCGGCGAACGAAGAAGTAAAACATTGCGCGATGCTCCAATTCTGCGCACCGAAGAGCACATGCAGACAACTGTTCAAACATGTAGTGCCGGACCATAAGTGAATCAACCACCCACTGTACATCGAGCGGCCAATGATGAAGGTTTGAAGAAGTCTGACACAACGCATGCTTAGAAGCAAAATGAGGTCGGTAGCTCAATGCACTCCTGGATACATCTTTCACAACCGTTCAATCCAGCGAATACCTACTCGGCAGCAACAAAATCATGATTTTGTCGATTTTTTGCGACTGTGAGTCATACAGTATTTACCACATCGCATTAATATATAAATATAAATATATATATGTATGTACATATTTATTTATTTATGACGGACCGGACCATCCGGTTTGTCCGTCGCCCAAGGCATCACAAGACTGCGTTGAAATCCGGGGGGCCCAAGTTCGGGCATGCGTAAGCAACCGGGGGACTATTGCGGTATCATTAGCCCATGGGCAACTGTTGGTGCTTGCGCGGCATCGAAGGGTCGTTACTACCTCCCGGCCTACTGTTAATAATGTTGGCTGATGAAATCAGACCGCCATCATCACACGGGTTGCTAGGTGACAGGGCGCGACAACAGATGGCAGGTGCGAACCACTAGTAGGTTTGAAATCTGTTCAGGGCAAGTGGCTTGAGTAAGTTCAAAAGATGGTAGATTGTGACCTATAAAATGAACCACGTTCTGCACCTGATGCACTCCCGTATAGCAGGATTCGGTGTGTTGGTTTATCTCCAGCTGGGTTGACAGTAGCAAAGAGCAGAAGGAGGGCAGAGTTAAGACAGTCTTACAGAATTTATATTTCGCTGAAGGGCAACGGACTTTACAAGTTTTGGTCAGTGGCTGGTTACACATTGCCACAACAGTAGATTGGCTTAAGCTGCAAGAGTGCGCAGAAGGAACAAAGACCTCACTGCTATTACTGCCTGCGAACCCGAGAAGGCAGATAAAATGCAATGAAGGATGAAGTGTATTACCATTTGAATAGACCGTAACATTACCGAAGAGATAATAGCATCGCAATGTTGGCTCGCTAATAAAAGCTGATCAGATATACAGAGCTTTGGAACAGCAAGTATCGAAATTCATGTGCAGCAATTGGAATACTAACAGGCCGCGAAAAGAATGCAGGCACCTGCAATGACGTGCATCAAAAGTATCAGTAAATAGAAAGCAGAACAACAGACTCAGAGCACACGAGCAAATAAGTTTCAGAAGATGCCGGAGGAAGAGCCATCAACAAGCAGGCGCAATTCAGCCGACTATATTATTGGTAGTCTGTTTCGATCTTCTTAAATTCGTCGGCCTAAGGATTACAAGAGGCGGGAGTCATTGAGTTGACCACATCTCGCTACGCTGTGCTCAAAGCCAATCGGGAGTTTTCTTCCGAATTTTAAGAGGTTCACCGACATCTCCGATATCCAGTGCACCATACCCTTGTATGTTGTGTGGCCAGCGAGATCCTATTGCACTTAAGCTCAGTGAGAGAGTGAAAGTACGGTTTGCAAGGTATCCCGGCAGGTTTGCATGACCAAAAGCTATGAAAATTTCCCATTTGCCAGTCGGGGGAGACTTTTGGTGCGCCTCCGATAAGGTTCATGTCAAAACGACTTTGTACCAAGACATGAGCATAGGCAATGCAAGCATTCCAGAAAGCGCGACAATCCGGGATGGTACCAAGCCATCTGTAAGTTATGGCAACCTGATTTCATTGGATCTATCACTGGCTAGCTACAGGAGAACACCATGTGGCAGTTCGGCGCCTACTGTGTCTAAAAGCGGTGTGTGCGTTACAGCTGGTGCTCAGCACACAGCTATAACAGACACTCGCCCTTGTCAGCTTGTTCGGAGTGACACCCATAATTACCACCTAGTTAAGCTTCTGAAGAGTTCAGACGACCTACTTGAGCATTCATATCCCCTACAAGTGATATGATATTAGAAATGGGAACCCTACTTGGTAGCGTGCTCTGTTCTTGGTAGGAGGTGTACCTAACAGCATCAGAATTGCAGCCGGTCGGAGCCTGGCGAGCGACCTTAATCCGACCAGTTTGAATAGCAACGACAAGCGGATCACGTTGGAAAGTGTAATTTGGCGCCCTATCATCATTACTATTGGCTTACCTGTCAATGCCATGCTGCGCAAGAGAACGCCTGGACTATTCCCACTGTGGTTTAACTACGTTAGGTGACATCCAGACCTGTGATAGCAACAATCTGTTGGCTTAGGTCTCTGGTATCGTGATTACTGTGCTGTTCCCTATAAAATGCCGCTTCAATTGCTTACTGTTTCACCTGGCCTGATGGGGCTTTTATGAGAAAATCGAAACGTTGCCCAACAAACAAGCCAGTCGATTGTTCCCAAATCTTTCTGAACTCATGACTTATCGATTGGTCCCAGATGTATTTAACGATTTTGAATCCATACTGCACAGTCGCTGGAAGACAATCTATCTGGGGAGTAACTAAGTTCGTCCCGAAGGAAAGACGAACTGTCAGTTGTTAACTGATGTTTACCTCTGGAGAAAAGAGTTGTTGCTGTCATAAAGCTCCACCAAAAATTCTCCCAGCACTTTCATCCTGTTCTTTCTACTGCGGAAGCAGATCCGCAGCTCAAGCTGGTACACAGAGGCAGAAATACACTCCAAACTATTGAATTTTCACTTAGTGACATATGTCGCCAACTTAGATTAGTTCGGCCATTATGCTCAGCAGGCCCTGACAACATCCCTTCAATACTGGTCAAGCACGGAAGTCCAGACATCCGCCTGTTTTGCTTAATGTAGTTACATTTTCCATGCTCAATATGGAGTATCCTATGCACTGGAAACAATCAACTATAATACAAAAGCGGATCTATGCAGGATGTAAAAAGTACCGCCCAATCCACCACACATCTATTAGCTCCAGAATCATGGAGAGGAAGTTAAAGAATGCATAATAGAATATTTGAGTATTGTGAGCTTTCTCAGTAAGCATCAGCACGGTTTTTTGAAAGGTAGGTCGTGCACTACCTGTCAGTTAGATTACCTTGATTATGTGACTAGAGCAAGAGATGCCGGAAGTGCCATCATCGAAATATTTCTTGCCATCCAAAAGGCTTTTGACCGTGTCCCACACAATTTATGGTTGTGGAAGCTTATGTCCTATGGTATCACAAATTCGCTTCTAGCTTGGTTGTCTTCCTACCTCGAGGGTAGAAAGTAAGTAGTCAAAATAAGTAACTATACATCTAAAGCCACTACAAACTCTAGTGGAGTGATTCAAGGTAGCGTGCTAGGCCCGCTTTTATTCTTTATCTATCTCAACGATCTCCTTGATGAAATCTCGTATGGGAAGCCGTTCCTTTTCGCTGATGATGATAAAATTGTGTATTGTTCCGCTCCTGGGCAATGTAGTCCTAACATAGCCTATATTCAGTCTGACTTGTCCGTATTGGAGCTCTGGAGTAACTCTTGGAAGTTGCACTTTGCCACTGACAAGAGTAATCTATTGTACCACGGCTGTGGCACTACTCTGAACATCTTTGCATTAAACGATACCCCTATTCCTGTGTGTGGCACAGTCCGAGACCTTGGTCTAAGATATTCTGCCTCGTTTAAATTTTTAGAGCATGTTATATATATTCTTGCAGGCTTCTGCCAGAAAAGTGATCGCCTACATAAGTCGAACTCTTATTTTGAGGGATTCCAGGCTTCAAGCCTTTAAAATATGTGTTAGGCCGAAGCTTGAGTGCTGTACGATAGTGCATAGTAATCTGAGAAAGTGGATATTATAGCACTAGAAAACATTCAACGATCATACACAAAAATGTTTTTGACCATGCCTAATACTATGACATACCGTGAGCATTGCGAGGCGCTAAATCTGCAGCCGCTACGGCTACGCAGACTCAAACTTAGTCTGTGCCTTCTATACCGCTTACTATTCGGATTAACCTTCACTGCTCAGCTACAACTCGAGTTTCAGACTCGTATGCGCTATGAACTAAGAAACAGCGAGCGCACAGTGAAAATACCAAAGTCTCGCACAAAGCTCCGCTCAAAATTTTTCTCCGTAAAATATGCGTTAATATGGAACAAACTTCCATCGAGTGTTAGAACTTGCACTACCTATCCGCATTTCAGACGCGTGATTAATATTCACCTGACTGTTGCAAATATCTGGTAAACCCTAAGCCAAACGGTGACTCTACATGCTTTGTATGAGAAAGGTCCTGGATGTATATGAAAGTCACCATATCCTCTTTTCGTTTCAATAATATATGATTACCTATATATAGTTGAATTCTTGAGTATATATTTGAGAACGATCTTACTCCTATCGATCCGTCTAACCAATTATGTTTTCTCCTTTGACGCACTGGTTCGTAGATGCACTACGCCTTTCAAGCTGATATCTCTGTACCATCATTGTCACTCACCAAGCCTTTTCATCAAATTTTTATTGGCCTCTAGGCAAGCGTTTGTATTCATCATTATGTTTTACAATTCCGCATACTTTATCTTCTTCATTGTTTCACTGTTAGTCATGACTGGGCTGCTCTCTTGTGGTGACAAATTACAGCTTCCAAAATAAAAATGTATACCCATGCAAATTATATTACTACTGACTCGCTGGCTTAAAACAAAAAGTGCCATACTTGATTGATCCGCGTTAAAGAACGGGCTGAGGCTTCATCGTCTATAATGTGTGCATAAAACAGCCCTAAAAAATAAAAGAAAGACATTTGAAACCCAGTTCTGATGG